GAGGTCCTGAACATCCGAACACCTCTAGTATGTCAGTACAGACTGTGTGACTTTTAAAGCCATCAGTGGCCTGGGTCTTAGTCTCCTCTTATCCTACGTAAATCTGGAAAATTCTTTAGTGATTGCTATCTACTTCTTTTTATTTCTTTTATTATATTATTATAATTATTTTCTTTATTCTTTCCTTCTATTTTGAGAACTTTGGTACTTTCCTTCCTGGAGTGAAAAATACTATGAATTCTGGATTAAAATAGCACAGAAGTTGAAATAAGCTTTTGTCAGTTTTGCAGATATGGTTATTGCTACGACAACTCGTTCATTCAACTCTTTATTTTTGTCTATGTGCACGATAGTGTGTTATACCTTGCAAGGTGTAGGAAATGAGTAAGAACAACCTGTACCCATCTTCTTGAGGCTTACAATTAGGAATTGAAGAAAAAGGACCCACAGAAATAGATATAATCATTCATTCCTGCAGCTTCTGACCGCGATGTCTACCACGTGCACATTCATGAAGTCACAGTTTAGTGCAGAGAAAGGCATGTATACAGATAATTTTGGTGTTATTGATGTGCTATAATAGAATGATCAAGAAACTTAGAGGAGCAGAAGAGAAAGCACCTCGTTCTGCTTGCATGAGCTGAATACTTTAGGGAGGGTTCACTGAGGAGTTAGGACGATTAAGATAAGTCTTTTTTTTTTTTTTTTTTTGAGAGAGTCTTGCTCTGTCACCAGGCACCAGGCTGGAGTGCAGTGGCGCGATCTCGGCTCACTGCAACCTCTGCCTCCCGGGTTCAAGCAATTCTCTTGCCCCAGCTTCCCAAGTAGCTGGGACTACAGACGCACACCACCACGCCCAGCTACTTTTTATATTTCAGTAGAGATGGGATTTCACTATGTTGGCCAGGACGGTCTCGATCTCTTGACCTCGTGATCTGCCCGCTTCGGCCTCCCAAAGTGCTGGGATTACAGGAGTGAGCCACTGCACCCGGCCAGTTAAGTCTTTAGGATGACTACGGACTTGCACAGCAGATGCAGGGTGGCCAGGGTTTCTAGGAAGAAGGTGCAGCACATACAAACTCAGAGACACAAAGAAACATCACACATTCAGGGTGTGATGGATGAGAAACCAAATGTGGGAAGTTCCTCGGGAGAGCGACAAGCCAAGTGCTGTATGATTCTCATTTACATTCCAGCCCTGTTGTTCCATGTGAAATGAGTCAGGGCAGGTGGGTGTTTTAGGCACCCCCGGCATTCAGGTACTGGGGCATTTGCCTTATGTCCTCTATACCTGAGTATTTTATTGTTCTTCTACTGGAAAAAACCATCCCTGTCATCCAGGCTTGGGGAAAGTACAAGAGCATCTACAAATTCCTTCAAAGTGTATTTTACTTCCCGTATTTAAAGCCAGGAGACGGCTGGGCAGGCATGGTAGCTCACACTGTAATCCCAGCACTTTGGGAGACCAAAGCAGGTGGATCGCTTGAGCCCAGAAGTTTCAGACCAGCCTGGGCAACATGGCGAGACCTCGTCTCTACAAAAAATACAAAATTAGCAGAGTGTGCTGATGCATGCTTATAGTCCCAGCTACTTGGAAGGCTGAGGTGGGAGGATCACTTGAGCTCAGGAGGTCAAGGCCGCAGTGAGCCATGATTGTACCACTGCATTCCAGCCTGGATGACAGAGTCATCTTAAAAATAAATGCCCTGTCTTAAAAATAAATAAAGCCAGGAGACCAGATATTTTTACATGAATACTACTTGCTACCATAATCCATAGAAAAAGTGTCTTATATTAGTATGGAGTTAGTAATTCTTTTTCATTAGATGGTAGAGTGTGTTTCAAATAGGAATTTTGGCCAGGTGCTGTGGCTCACACCTGTAATCCCAGCATTTTGGGAGGCCGAGGCAGGCAGATCACCTGAGGTCAGGAGTTTGAGATCAGCCTGGCCAGCATGGCAAAACCCCGTCTCATCTAAAAATACAAAAATCCTCTGGGTGTGGTGGCGGGCACCTATAATCTGTTACTCAGGAGGCTGAGGCAGGAGAATCGCTGGAACCTGGGGGCAGGGGTTGCAGTAAGCTGAGATCGCACTACTGCACTCCAGCCTGGGTGACAGAGGAATTTAATGGAGAGATCTATTATCCACTTACATTGAATTTTGTCATCCCTATGACTATTTATTGAATATTTGCAATACACATAACTAGCTATATGAGTTTGATTTTAAATAAAACAAAATGCTTTTTACATTTGATTCCTAGAAATCAGTATTGCGGCCTTAATTCACAATGAAAAAGAAAACTACCAATTAAAGGAAAGGTATATTTTCTTTTTTAGCAGAGCTGTGCAGGACAGTAACAGCCCAAGGATAGAGTCTTGGCTCATACTCTGAGGCATCGCAGGTGGGGGCCTGGGGCCTCCCACAAGTGAAGACCACAGGCCTAAGGCCAGACCACATTCTTTTGCTTCACTTACGTGTGTTAGTTCTCATGAACTATATCATAAATGTCTATAGGTTTTCAGCCAATTTTTGGTAAGACACTCTGTGTTTCAGAGCATTTTATCTATAGAATTTGATTTAAACATCATCAGATATTTACACATTAAAAACAATTATATACAATACTAAGTAAAATGTAAAATACATGGAATTAATTCACTATCGTGATTTAGAAATATACTTGAAGTGTTATGAATGTGAGTTGTCAGCTGCAATGATAGGATGACTAACTCATTGTGGTTTTAGCACTGAAAGTTCCACGTCCCAGGGCTCAAACCACAAGGTGATTCTGCCCATCAGAACTCAACCAGGGCCAGCTCGGGATCAGATCCACATGCTGAGCTGTTTCTTACACCAGCTGTTAGAACTCAGTGACTGGAGCAGAAGTTAACATAGCATTCAGATTGCTTGGAAAGTGACTGATCCATGGTTATGATAATTAATAAAATATTAAGGTCGTACCAATCACAGTTTGACCATGAGTAGTGGAGAATGTGAGAAAGGCAGAAAAGGCAGGTAGGAAGGTATGCAAAAAAGACGGGAGGAGGAGCTTAGGAGGCTTGACTTGACAACTCTAGAGCTTCCTCTGGAAATACCAGCTGTTTGTGTATTTGTAAAAGACAAACAGAGCAGCCTGAAATAAAATGGTGAAATGGAAGGGTCTGATCTTCTGATGCCCCACCCTTCCTTACCTCATTATCTCTCTCCACATCTGTCTTAAGGACAATTCCAGCTAAAAATCCTCATGCATGACATTTAACCTTTTTTCCATCTTGTATGTTGTATTAGTCAGTTCTTGCATTGCTATAAATGCCTGAGCTTGGGTAATTTATAAAGAAAAGAGGTTTCATTGGCTCATGGCTCTGCAGACTGTACAGGAAGCACAGCGGCTTCTGGGGAGGCACCAGGAAACTTAGAATCATGGCAGAAGGTGAAAGGGAAGCAGGCACATCTTACAAAGCAGAAGCAGGAGCAAGAGAAAAGTGGGGCCAGGAGTGGTGGCTCATGCCTGTAATTCCAGCACTTTGGGAGGCCGAGGGAGGCTAATCACTTGAAGTTAGGAGTTTGAGACCAATCTGGCCAACATGATGAAACCCTGTCTCTACCAAAACATCAGCTGGGTATGGTGGCACATGCTTGTAGTCTCAGCTACGTGGGAGGCTGAGGCATGAGAATTGTTTGAACCCAGGAGGTGCAGGCTGCAGTGAGCCAAGACTGCACCACTGCACTTCAGCCTGGGCAACAGAGTGAGACTCTGTCTCAAAAAAAAAAAAAAAGAGAGAGAGAGAGAAAAAAGGGAAAGATGCCACACACTTTTCACAACCAGATCGTGTGAGAACTTTATCATGAGAACAGCACTAGGGGAATGGTGCTAAGCCATTCATGAGGAACTGCCCCCGTGATCCAGTCACCTCCCACCAGGCCCCAGCTTCAACATGGGGGATTACAGTTCAACATGAGATTTGGGTGGGGACATGGATCCAAACCCTGTCATGAACTATGTCCTTTAGTAAGTTTTTTTTTTTTTAGTACTGAAAGTCATTTTAAAACAAAAAATAAAAAATTTCAAACATACAGGTAAGTGGAGAGAATTTTATAATGAATGCCCACATATCCACCACTTAGACTATAAAACTAACATTTTAATATGTGTGCCTGATTTATCTTATATCTTCCATCTCTCTATCCATCCATCCATCTTATTTTTTGGATGCATTTCAAAGTAAGTTGCTTCAGCCCTAAACATGTGAACACACATGTGATTAACTAGAGTTGAGTTTTTTTGGTGTTTTTTTCTCTTGAGATAAAATTTATACACAACAAAATACACAGATCTTAAGCATATTTTTCCATGAGTTTTGACAAATGCACCCAGGTGTATAACCCAAACCCATATCAAGATACAGGACACTATCATCACACCAGAAAGTTCTCCTCATGCCTCTTCCCAGTTAATCCCTGTCAGGATCACCATCCTCCACCTACTCTAGATAATTACTGTTCTCTGATTGTTTCCCACTACAGATTACCTTCATCTGTTCTAGAACTTCACGTAATTAGAACCATAGAGTATGTACTCTTTGGGGTCTGATTTTCTTTGCTTAGCATAATGTCTATGAGATTCATCCATGTTCATGGGTATATCAGTAGGATTTCTGGCCAGGATTCCATGGTATGGATGTATTATAATTTGTTCATTTTCCTTTTAGTGGACATTTGGTCAGTTTAAAGTTTTAAATATTACATATGAAATTGCCATCGGCCTAACTGTACAAGTAATTTTGTGTATATTGTTTTCATTTCTCTGGGGTAAATACCTAAGGAGTGGACCCCATAGCATTATTATTATTATTATTTTTTTTTCAATTTCTAACCCTCAGATTTATTTCTGGTACAATGAGTAATCAAGTTCATTTTAGGTAAGTGGCTGTAATGCTTGTACCGCTCTGAGACAACAATGGAAGCCACAAATTACTCTCTAAGTTTCATTTATTAATTAGTTAATATTAATTAGCATTTTCTTCACATACCTTTTTGCCAAAATTTCTGACTTCTCTGAATTTTCAATAGACAGGATGAAAAGGTTAATAAACCAGGTCAGTGAATACTGGTACATGGGCTCAATGTTGGCTAAATCAGCAATAGAAAAAAACAGGATGGAAGAATGGATGGCAATAGGACGATAGCCCATGCGGGTGGTGTCAATCTTTTTCTCTGTCTCTTCGGCTACTTCCTGCTTCTGAGAAATCTCATTAGCCAAAGCCTTGGAAGAAGATAATATCTTAATAGCAGTTTCATCTTCTAATATATTGCCTTCCGAAGATGAAAGAACTTCTAAAATCTTGTCTTCTATTTCTTTTAACTGCCTGGAATAAAACACAATTTCTCAGAAGAAAAAGAAGTCATTTAAAATCACTTCCACGTATATGTTCTTTTATAAGAAACAAAGAGCTTGTAACCTAAAGAAATGCATCACTTTGTGACAAATATCTGTTAATGGTGATACTGTGTAATTAATTTCTTATCTTGCAAAATGTCACAAAGATGGGCCTTTCTGCTCAATTTCCCTTTTTAATGATCATTTATGTGCTAACTAGAAAGAAATACGGCAAGCCAGTTTACTCTGCCATCAAGGATCTCAGCTTGGAGTGAACAGAAAGTAGCACTCCATTTATTTTATGAAATTTTACATGACTTATACAGCTTTACTCTTTCTACCTATGATATAGATGTTATGAGCAGCAAGTGGAATGCAACATATTCATTCATACCATGTTCCAGTAAAAATCAGGTTACCTCCGTTACACAATGAATACTAAAACTTTGTGGAATAAGAAAATACCCTGCCCTGACTTGTGGCAGGCCTTCTAGCTCTTCCAGTGCCTAAGAACGTGCATGTAAAAATATACTCAGTAATGCAGTTTTATAAATTAACAAGGAGGTAATATAATTCCTTACATTTTCCTGTTATATTTTCCCTTGCAGTATTCCTATCGAACAAAAGAGATCTGTAAAATGTACTTTAATTCATCCTAATGATATCAAAACAAATAAGAATAGTTCTGTTTATAACATTTAAAACCTTTTATTTTCAGCTCCTTGTAATATCAAGGCTTGCTTTTCTTCTTCAAGGTCCGGCCTTTCTCGTGCCACCACAATTCCCAGAAGCTGGTCTTGCATTCCCTCAGAGGTTATCATGAAGTTTAGTAATGTTACCTATAAACAGAAAAAAAATATAAAAATTGCACCATTATTTCTATTAAAAATGCCTCTGCTTTTATGTGTCAAGTTCTGACCTTAAAATAGACTCCGTTTACTACAGAGTAGTACTTGTGAAGGTATAATTTGTAGAGACTATGATTAACGACATAGGCAAGCATGATTGTTGGATTTAAAATCCACCTCAGTTTCTCATAGTCAGAAATCTAATACCTCAAAGGGTTTGTTAGGTGATCAATATATTCTCATTTCAAACTTGTCTAATTTCTGAGAACTCTTCAACAGCAAAATTCATTAGAATCAGGTTGGAAGCTCTCTTCCATTTCAGTTGATCAGAGCAGCCATGGCATAATATAAGGTTCGAAGCCTGGCTCTAGAATCCTATTAGTTGGACCAGCTGATTTACATTGTAAGGATTCTACTGGTATCAAAAGTAAAGGAAATCTTACAAAGTGAGATAAAAAGAAACATTGTAATTACTTGTCATGAGTGCAGTATTTTTACAATCTGATAATCAGCCACTATTGTGAACTAAGGAATTTACATTTTCGTGGTGTCTATCAAGACTATTTGCTAACACCTGCTTCATCCAGGTACCTAATTGCTCTTATAGGCAGATCTCTCTTCATTGCCCACATCTCCTGGTTCTTTCCCATAAACATGCAAACATGCTCAGGTCTCTTTTTTCAAAAAAAGCAAACAAGAAACAAATCATTCTATTGCTCCCCCAATCCTTTTCAGCTATGGAATAACCTCTCTCTGGGCTTTCACAATGACACTTATCAAAAGTGTTATTTTTATATATTTTCTGCCTCCACTGAATTTCATGATACAGCCCTCTACAATCTGCTCCCTGCCCTGCCTCTGCACACCCATCCACACACACTGCAATAAACCACAGTAACTTCCTGGCTCTGGTCACCAATGAACCCATACTGTCTTGACCTTGGCTTCAATTGAAATCCTCACCTTTGTTTTTTTTTTTTTCATGTATATTGCAGTCTGCTTGACCTCATGTCTTGAATCACATTTTTTTTTTTTGAAAGTCAGAAGGCTCTTTATTATTGCCACATATCACCAATTTTTTTACTTTTAATTTTTATGGATTGCTGGGAAAGGTCTTGACGGGTGTGTGATAGATTCTATGTTGTTTACTGAGAAACGATGGCAAGGAACACCCAGCCATCCCCAGGCAGAAAACTCCTAGAATAGTAAGCAATAAGTACTGGTCATGCACTAGTTAAACCAGTTCCCAAAACACAGGATACATGACCTTGTCCCCATTGCTGACTCGCAAAGAGTGCTTTCTAGCTTATTTCTATTTTAGTACTGAACTGGCACTATTGCCTGTTTAGTCTATCTTCATTCTATGAAGAAACACTGAACACCTGCTTATTAAAAATAATCACTTGTTCACAAAGAATAAATACGTGGGTCAGAGTCTGCTCTGGGCTTTCAGCTGGGAAATGCTGTCAGTCCCTTGATGGTCCCCCTGTGTTTCCCACTTTTGCACTCTATCTTTGTGTCTGTTTCTTAATTCCTCTAGCGTCGCCTGGGTTGGGATCTCCACAACCGAGCTGGTCTCAGTACATGGGTATACGTCTCTCTCCTAGGCCAGAATGAAAGTAACTTTAGCACAGGGATCTCTTATTTGACTTCACGGCTTGTTTGGCACAAAGTCACGTTCCCTTCAAACTTATTGAATGACCAATCAGAATGCCCACATTCCACATTCATAGAGCTGCTCTCTGCTACTTCTATTTCCTAAGATTTTAGTCACTTGATGATTCTTCCCTAAGGCATTTTATATAAAGTAATAGCTACTATGAATCAGGCTCTATAATATAAAGAAAAGCAAGATACAGTCTGGTCCCTGACCTCAAAAGTTTTAGTCTAGCTGAGCAAACCGAAGAACAAAGAACATCCAATGGGATAAGGACTCTGAGAGTGGTAAGCTTGCAATGCTACAGGAGCACAGAGGGTACCCAACCCAGAACAGGAAGACAAAGAGGGCTTCCCCCAAGCAAAGGACACCTGAGTTAAAACTTAAGAGTGACTGGCAGCTAGTCAAGAGAAAGAAGAGGGCAGCATTCTACAGGCCACAAGATTTCAACCTTGGCTGCTGACTGGAATATACTGTGAAATTTAAAAACCAGTAGTGTCTGGGTCTTAAGTCCAGAGAGTTTTATTTAATTGGTCTGGAGTGTGGCCTAGGGAGTTTAAAAACTCCCCAGATGATTTCAATCCAGGATTGAAGAACGATTGCTCTTGGCAAACGAAACAGCATAGACAAAGCAGCAGAGAAAGGCAAAGCATGTTTAGAGGAATCTGTTCCACCACTGGAGAGTGTTCAGGTAGGACCCAAGGAGCGCCCTTCATCTACTACCTATAATTGAAGGCAAACATTTTCTACCACATGTATCTGAGAATTCAATGTGTGCAGTCGGCAATATTAGAAATACTTGTTTTTTTAACACAGGAACAGAAAATCAAACGCTGCTTGTTCTCACTCATAAGTGGGAGTTGAACAATGAGAACACAGGGACACAGGGAGGAAAACATCACACACCAGGGCCTGTCGGGGTTTGGGAGCAAAGGGAGGGAAACATTAGGACAAATACCTAATACATTCAGGGCTCAAAACCTAGACGACAGGTTCATAGGTTTGGCAAACCACCATGGCACATGCATATCTATGTAACAAACCTGCACATTCTGCACATGTATCCCAGAATGTAAACTAAAAAAAAAAAAAAAAAAAATGAAATACTTGTTTTTAACTCTTGAAAATTCTATAAAAATTTCAGCAACTACCACAAACCATCAGAGGTGACTCAGTGTTTGCTCCTGATTTCATCACTTTCCTAATGAAGGGAGGTTTTTAAATAGGGAATACTTTTTCAAACCCAGGTAAAACCACTGCATTCTATATGTTAGTGACAATTTTGTCCAAAACTTTTAAATACATTTTCTATCACGATCTAAATTGTAGCAGCTAAAAAATGCCATTTTGGCACACTGAAATCTAGGTTTTTTTTTTTTAAATTAGAATTTTAATTCGAATTTTAAAACCTGTGAACTAGTAGAGAAGAAACAACCCCCTGGGCAAACTACCTATATTTAGCAGGTTATAATCAACCAACTCTAACACAGGCAGCTTATCAGAAATATTTATTTGCAAGGCAAAAGCATTGTTCTTGTTTTTATGTTTCATTCCTTCAAGCCTCTGCTAGTCTATGATGTACCTTGTGTGGATTAGAAAAAGATGTCATCTGCATGCAGAATCAGCTCCACACCAGGCCAATGCCTAAGAAACTTGGGGCTAGATTTCAGCCCTCTTCAATTTCACCTTTGTGTTATGTACAAACTGCACAACCATAGAAGCTGCCATCGCTCTCCCTCCTAATGATAAGCAGTGTGTCCCTACCAGTGGAATGGTTTAGAGAAAAAAAAAAAAAAAAGGAAGGGTCAAAAATGTTATTTTTCTAATCTTAATGACTTATTTGTCACCTTTGGAGGTTTTGCCTGATTTATAAATTGTTTGCATTGCCAAGGTACAAAGGTTTTCCTTTCTTACAAACGAAAAATAGGTAATGCTGTTACTGAGGTTGCTGTTCTACTTTTGTTTTTCGTCTTTTCATCTGTTGTTTCCTGGTGGGCNCTGGGATTACAGGTGCCCCCCTACCATGCCCAGATAATTTTTTTGTATTTTTAGTAGTGATGGGGTTTCACCATTTTGAACTCCTGACCTCGGGATCCATTCACCTTGGCCTCCGAGAGTGCTGGCCTCCCAGGATGCTGTGAGCCACCGTGCCCGGCCTCCTCTTCTTTTTCCTATAAGCCACTCATTTTCTTCCCTTTTCTCAATCCTGGCAGGGTATAATGTTTTGTTACTATTTTCTCACTGTCCTAAAAATTCTTCCAGAGAGAGGCAGCACGGTGTTGATGAAAATGCCTTGACTGTTTGATTATGTTCAAGATGTGCCTCTACTGTTTTATAGCAGGGTGAGTTATGGTACTTCTCTGGGCTCCAGGCTCCTTAATTGTTTGTTCATTCAAGATGTTGGAGGAGATAATTCTGGAGTTCTCTTTCCATCTCTATCATTCTGTAAGTCTATGACATCTTTTTTTAAGACACAAATCTGGCAGAGAGAAAAGAGACAGACGGACAGAAAGATGATGAAGACATGAGGGTAGAGATGGAGGGGGCAAAAAAGAAAAACAAATAACTTTATTCCTGCTACTTGGCCAGTCAAACAGTGACATGGTCTCTGGGGCCAGGCCAGTCCCTTCCGCCATCAGCTTTCTTTCTTCTGTCCTGATTTCATGGTTAGGCACCCCCCTGGCCTTGCCTTGTCCTCTGCTGTTGTGTACCCCCTATCTTCTCTGTTCCCTCCATTAATAGATATTAGTTTCATGCTCTAGATATGCTCACTGAGCCTCCCAAGAGAGCACTGTAAACCAATTTATGCCAACAAACCAATGAGGAAACCAAGAGAGGTCCCTTCTCGCCAAGGTAAATATATTCAATTTAATAAGGGCTTTGCAGATAAAATGCACTCATTTTCATTGTATAACCTAGAGGAAGGACACTAATATTAGGAGGCTTAGGTCCAAGAAGTGAAGAAACACCATGGCAGGCTATATGAGGAGTCTCTTAAGTGTATGAGCTGGTGCCTTTGAGATCTTCTTCATATGATACAGGTACCGAGACTAGGAGACGTGAATTTTTATTGCATTAAGTCTCAGTTTAAAAATTTTATTCTGCTGCTCTCAAAAGCATCCTCATACTTATGAGAACACATATGCCAATTTTGGCCCAGAAAATGTGGTCTCTGTGCATGTTGCTGGATATCATTTTCAGCACGTGTACTCTCTTGATACCTTGGGTATATCTTACTTTACAGTAATTAACATAGATGTCATTTCAAAAAGGAAAAGTTTCATCCCGGCTTTAGGGAAAGCTTAAATGAGGAGAGAAACTGCTAAGGAAAGAGGAAGATTAAACATTAAAAAAAGAGAGAAGTAGTGTAGAGTGAAAAGGTGTGGGAAAAGATGGGACAATGATGACCAGAAGATGAAGAGAAAAAAATGGGAGGTCTGCAAATAAAATATAAAATCCTTAAAAGACAGGATTTTATGCTAAAAAATAATTCATTCAAAATTTTGTCCAAAGCCAGAAGTAATAGCGCCCCCTGGCAGTCTTCAGATCGTTAATGTAGTGTGTGTGTGTGTGTGTGTGTGTGTGTGTGTGTGTGTGTGTGTGTGTGTGTTTGAGATGGAGTCTCGCTCTGTTGCCCAGGCCAGAGTGCAATGGCACAATTTCGGCTCACTGCAAACTTCGCCTCCTGGGTTCAAGCAATTCTCCTGCCTCAGCCTCCTGAGTAGCTGGGATTACAGGCGTGTACCACCACACCCAGCTAATTTTTGTATTTTTAGTAGAGACAAGGTTTCACCACATTGGCCAGAATGGTCTCATTCTCCTGACTTCTTGATCTGCCCTTCTGGGCCTCCCAAAGTGCTAGATTACAGGCGTGAACCACCATGCCCGGCCGATTTGTTTGTTTTTGAGATGGAGTCTCACTCTGTCACACAGGCTGGAGTGCAATGGCACAATCTAGGCTCACTGCAACCTCTACCTCCTGGATTCAAGCAATTCTCCTTCCTCAACCTCCTGAGTAGTTGGGATTACAGGCATGTGCCACCATGCCTGGCTAATTTTGGTCTTCTTAGTAGAGATGGGGTTTCACCATGTTGGCCAGCCTGGTCCTGAACTCCTGACCTCAAATGATCCACCTGCCTCTGCCTCCCAAAGTGCTGGGATTACAGGCGTGAGCCACCATGCCCAGCCTCTAATGTATTTTGATATACTCAAAATATACTCATATTTCACAACAAATAAAAAATTAATTACAGTTCAGAAGGAACGGTGTTAGGCTTTCAATTCAAGCTGTAATAAATCATATTAGTGATTATTTTCCTGTTTCTAATATATCAGTTAAGCTCATTGGATTCCAGCTAATTAAGCTACAAAGATAAGGGACTCACACCCTAAGGATGGAATGAACTCTAGCCTCTAAATAATTATCTCTCTGCGGTTGAGGCTCTTCAGTTTCCTATGTTATGCCAGTAGATTCAGTTCAACAGTTATTTATAGGAAAAGAAAAAGGCATTAGACTGTCAGCCCTCATCAGACACTGCGTATGAGCACTGTGACTTTGAGACTCAGGGCTGTGCACCTGGGGGAGCTGGTGAAAAGAACACACATGCTTTGAAAAGAAGCCCAGCCACAGCTAAGAGCTGTGCTAGCCTCGTTACCATTGTCATCTAAAACCCTCTTCCAGCAAGGGAGGAGGACTCTAAACTCCAGGTGTATTTAGGAGCCACTTGATGTTTAATGCCTAAGAAGAAAGGCGTTGGAAGACAGAGCAAGCAAACAGAGATTCTAACTTTACAAACTGCAGAAGTTACCAAATTTAAAATAAGGAGAAAGATGAGGTCAGGATCAAAATCCCTCAGAGCTGGCTGAGCAAGGTGGTTCACGCCTGTAATTCCTGCACCTTGGGAGGCCAAGGCAGGCAGATCTCTTGAGGTCAGGAGTTCGAGACTAGCCTGACCAATATAATGAAACCCCATCTCTGCTAAAAATACAAAAATTAGCCAGGCGTGGTGGCACACGCCTGTAATCCCAGCTACTCGGGAGGTTGAGGCAGGAGAATCACTTGAACCCAGGAGGCGGAGGTTGAGCCGAGATTGTGCCACTGTCCTCCAGCCTGGGAAACGAGCAAAAACTCCGTATCAAAAACAAACAAACAAACAAAATCCCTCAGAGCCAGGATTTGGGTATGAGGAGATGAAAGGGAAGGGAGGGCAGAACGTCTTCCTTTGAGGACCCAAACTAGCAAGGCTGGTGAACTAGGGTGGAGGGTGTGCACCTGCGGAGGTGGATTGAGGAAATCTTAAAAAGCTGGAAACATCTGCCCGTGTGGCCTTTCAGGTCAAACTTGGGTACAGAGATAACCACTTCCCCTACTCTACTCCACCACAACTAACTAGCCTACTTCGTTATTAAACCCTGAGAATGTCTACCCAGAAATCTGTTTCAAAGCGTTTTTAAAACATATATATTACTTTTTTGAGATTAAGTTTTGCTCTTGTTGACCAGGCTTGGAGTGCAATGGCGCAATCTCGGCTCACCGCAACCTCTGCCTCCAGGGTTCAAGTGATTCTCCTGCCTCATCCTCCTGTGTAGCTGGGATTACAGGTGTGTGCCACCACACCCAGATAATTTTTTGTATTTTTAGTAGAGATGGAGTTTCTCCATATTGGTCAGGCTGGTCTTGAACTCCCAAGCTCAGGTGATCCACCTTCCTTGGCCTCCCAAAGTGCTGGGATTACAGGTGTGAGCCACTGTGCCTGCCTGGCCTTTTTTTTTTTTTTTTTTCCAATTGTTTAAAGAAGAGAAGCTTTCTGTTTTTAAAAGACTGATAGCTATGAGCTAGTTACACTTTTGGCATGGGCCGAGAAGAGATGGCAACCTTGAACAAGGCAGTTTCCTGTGGCTGAGAGCAATGCCCAATGAGGAACACAGCTGGAAGCCTTTAGCAGCTTCTATTTCAAGCAGCTGGAGCATAGATGCATGGGTCCTGCAGGTGGAACCTGAGTGAGCTCCACAGTGTCCACTACAGTCCACCCCTTGAGTTGCTCTGCTCCATTTACTTCTTATACAGTAGGAAGTTTGTCTTATCCAGAAACAGCTTCTTTAGGATTCTGGTTGGCCTCGTTACCTGAAGAACTTCTAAGGGAAGAGTTAGTGGGATGAACTACAGTACATGCTGCTATAGTTAATCTCAAAGCTGGAGCTGATACTCCTCCTTCGCCTCCTCTGCTACTCATTCTAGATTTCTCTTTCCCTTGAATAGCACTCCTGCCAACCTATGAGGCTTGCCCAATTAAATAATTCTTATGCTCACCCCTGAAGAGTGTAAGCCTCTGGTTACCTTGCTCATCTCAGCCTGTGTCTTCTCTACTTGTCCATTTACCTTTAAAACATGGCATGGGTATGCCAAGAGCTGTCCCGGTGGTTCACCTAAGTAGCAGACATATGGCACATGTGTGTAGCAGCAGACCCACCTACTTACTTTCTACTGATGATTAGAGGCAAATTTCCCTGCTGAGACGATGACTCCTTTCCTTGTCTGCTGGTCTCTTGGCGTGAGGACTCCAAAGCCACCAGGCAGCAGCCATGGCTTAAAGTTCCGTGAAATTTGACTGTGTTCCCAGGGAGAAGTGTTACCACCACTGGCATGAGGACTTCAAGGTTCACAATGCTTCAAGTCGTAGGGCAGGAAATACAAATTCCTCAAGTGGGTGATTGGGGGTGATGGTAAGTGGGGCCACTCTTATTTTTACCCCTTTGTTCCCAGAACCGTGCATTCTACCTACCGAGACCATAGAACATAGAATGCTGGCTGATTTAGGATGTGTAGCACATCATGGAAGATACGTAGCACCTCATGTAGGATGACGCCCCATGCTTGCAAGGTGTCATCGTCAAGCTGGTCTTCATCCACCTTATCTTCATCCACCTTGACATCATGTGCTACATGATGCGCTAAAGGAATTTTCATCCTGACAGATGTGGCAAACACATCCTCAATAATGTCCCTGTAGCAAATGCTGTCCTGGATGATTAATGAGGTAAGTGATAATTTGCAAAGGCTACAGCTTTTAAGATTAGTCAGACCTGAGTTTGAATCCCAACGTAAATTGCTTTTACTTCTTGGGTAATCTCCAGCAAGTTGTCCTTCACAACTCATATCATTCCTTATTTAAAAAATTACGTCAGTAATACATTGTCATCACAAATGGTTCTAGAAATATGTAACTATAGGGTGAAATATAAAATCCTCCTCCCATCCTGACCTTCCCCTGCTTACCCTGTGCCTACTTCCCTTGCCTGAGGTAACCATCCTTAACAGTTGAGCTACATCCGTCCCAGATTTTAGAACATATTTTTGTTTACATGTACGCATTACTGTGAAAATTGCTTCTTTTGCTGAACAATATATCTTGGAGGTAAGTATGGATTTATCTCATTCATTTTTAATATCGCTTAATATCCCATAATGTGGATATATTCTAATTTATTTAACCATATCCTCTTATGATGACTCAGATTTGTCATCCTTTCTTCCTTCCTGCTTTCCTATTCCTTTGCTAATACAGGATTTTGCTTATTGCCCAGGCCGGAGTGCAGTGGTGCCATCTTAGCTCACTGCAGCCTTGAACTCCTAGGCTCAAGTGATCCTTCAGCCTCAGCCTCCTGGGTAGGTGAGGGTAGCTGAGGAACCACAGGTGTGAGCCACTGTGCCCAACAGTAAACATTTCTTTAGGATAGATTCTAAAGAATTAATGGGTCAGAGGATATGCATGCTTTAAATTTGGATTGATGCTGCCAAGCTGCCGTTTCAGATAGCTTCCTTTATTTATATTTGGGCAATTTATTTAATTTCTGTGATCCTTTGTTTCCTCAAGTATACAAATTCAGTGTAGTCAAACCTACTTCATAAGCCTGGTGAGATGATTAAACGAGGAAAAATCATCTCACAGTGTGTAACAACAGTGCCTGGAATGTGGGGGTTTCTTATCATCTTTACGCCTTAGAATCAGATAGAAGAAATTGATTTTCCTGTAACCTTTAGTCTATTTATTTGTGGACACTGAGGAAGGTCACAACTCTCCTTGTGGGATGTCTTCATATTAGGCAAGTTTCAGAGGCTAAGCATTTTTGGAGGTTACTAAACAAAATGATCCAACACGTAGAAGGTAGCCAAAAAAGATGCTGGCGTGACTTATTGTCAGGCAAGGGCTTTGTTTAACAAGGCTGTGAAAGGATCACCTAACTCTCTTGGCAAATACAGTTTGATTTGACTTCCTATTGGCTAATGAATAGGGCCCAGGGATTTTACAACCAAAGTTAGATGTTAATATATAATAAGTTGATACGATAAAAATTATTTTAGTCTAATAATGCCAATTATTTCTGTTCACTAGAGAAAAAAACCCTAAAGATTATAGTTTATTGCTCTGTAGAATACTGATGTTTTAGTATTAAATCATTTTATTCTAGCTTGCTTCTCTTTGATAGAAAATATGTACATTCGTTTCTTGTATCTGCCTTCGAATCATTTTGTCATTCTGTTTGTTCCCTCATTAACGAGCTAAAAATAACCTTGACATATGCTCTTATGTATATGTGTTGTTTTAACATTTTGAAATTCTACTTTTAACAGTACTCAAGATCAAACCACGCTGCTGCTTTCACTCCCTGCAGATGGTCATATTTTTGGGGCCTTCATTCATTTAATTGTCTTCTTTTGTGTTATCTCTAAATTCTCCATGGCTCTGGACAGTAATTAAACGTAAAGGACAGAATTTCTCCTGCCGGCTCTCCTGCGTCACTCCTTCAGTTCTCACCTTAGATTTCCTCTCCTTTGGAAACTTTCATTGTACTTCTATCTTTTTTTTTTTTTAGCGAGAGTCTCGCTCTTTTTGCCCAGGCTGGAGTGCAATGGCACCATCTCAGCTCACCGCAGCCTCCCCCTCCCAGGCTCAAGCGATTCTCCTGCCTCTGCCTCCTCAGTAGCTGGGATTACAG